TCAGGAGCAGCTTAGGTGTGCGGGGACGTTTTGGTATCTGGTTGTAGCTGTGTTTGCTGATGTGGGGGACAGAAGGGGAGGTAAATAAATGGGGTTTATGTAAGTCTAAAGCAGGTCTGGATGCTTAAAATGGAGCAGAGGAGCCTGTGAGGCGAGTGCTGGTGGCAGCACCAAACACCAACCTTTTTATTGACTGAAATCCCTCAGTTTAGACCCGATTTCACGAACGCCCTCAGCCCTCTGTTACGGCTGGGGTTTGTGGTCAGCTCTATTCATCCTGACCCCCATCTCAGATTGGGATAATACTTCTGGTTTGGATTTAATGAGCCTGTTTCTACTTGACCTGCTTGGCTGCATCTGGTGACCATTGCCTGTAAATGAAAAAATAGAAACTATTTCTGATTCATCAAACCAAGATCCAGTGTACAAATGTTCTCGTATCTATTGCAGAAGCTGGCAGAGTCAAATTATTTTTATGTTTTATACTTTTTGTTGGAAAAAAACCTTTTAAAATGGCCATGATTTTGTACGTTCAGCAGTAGCGTGTGGAAAAGCACGCATCTGATGACCAAGTGATCCTGATAAAGAGCATCCACACTGAACACGTCTGGTTTAACTTCAGCGCCCTGCTCCAGCCCCTCTGAGCCTGTCACTTCACCCCTCACTGTTGTCTGGTTTAAGCTTCATCGTGGAGGGCCTCAGTGCTGCTCTAAGCTGCCCAGATGCCCCCATCTCTTCTTGTTCTTGGTCCGAGTGTTCTCACTGTCATGAGCTGTCTTACGTAGCAAAGGGGCACGGCGCTAAGCCGGGTGTAGCTCTTACCTCTCTTTTTGCCTCCTCCCTGGCAGAGCGCCGTGACCTGCTTATCGTGGCCGGCGGAGAACGTCATCATCTTCGGTCTTGCTGAAGGAAAGGTAGAGATGTTTCTTGTTTGCCTGGTTTCCTTTTCCATGCAGGGGCCATCGGGGCCGTCAAGCCCCTTGGCTGCGGGATGGGAGTCATTGCTGTGTGGCACCAGGCACGAAGCAGCACCAAAGGGCTGACAGCACCAACTGGGGTTTCCTGGTTTCCACTTAATCCATGAAGGGTCTACTGGACCACTGGGTCCTTTTCCCGACCCTTCTAGAAATGTGAAAGAGTGGCTACAGCTTTCCCACTTCTTCTCCAACCCACGGAGAAGCAATGAGTGAGCTTCCTGTGCTTTCTGGCGCTTGTTTTGGACCAGGAATCCTTTGGGAATGTTGTGATGGGGGAAATGTGCATTCTGCAAGCAGACCAGCACTGACCAGATTCTCTTTCTCAGGTGCGATTGGCAAACACGAAGAACAACAAGTCTTCCACCATTTATGGGACAGATTCCTACGTGGTCTCGCTGACTTCCAAGTGAGTGGGGTGTATGAGAAGGGGTGGTTGTAGGGCAGAGAGGTTCTCCTGCCCCTCTGCTCTGCCCTGCTCACACCACAGCTGCAATCTTGTGTCCAGTTCTGGCCCCTCAGCTCAAGAAGGACAGGAACTGCTTGAAAGAGTCCAGCAGGGCCACAAAGATGAGGTGCGAATCTGGCACCCATGGTGAGACAGTGGCCTTGCCATGTTTCCTCACCATACAAGTGCTATCACTTGGAGAAGTGAACACTGTGGAGCATCTCCTGCTGAGGAGCGGCTGAGGGAACTGGGGCTCTTGAGCTTGGAGCAGAGGAGACTGAGGGGTGCCCTCATTCCTGGAGATCCATTTGGCAAGGGCAGTGTCAGGAGGAAGGAGCCAGGCTCTGCCAGGACAAGGGGCAATGGTCCCAAGCTGGAGCACAGGAGGTTCAAGCTGAAGATGAGGCCAAAGTTTGTGAGTGTGAGGGTTATGGAGCATGGCCCAGGCTGCCCAGAGAGGTTGTGGAGTGTCCTTGTGTGGAGACACCCAAAGCTCTGGCCGTGTTCCTGTGTGACTGCTCTGGTGATCCTGCTCTGGGGGGTTGCACTGGGGGAGCTTTCCAGGTCCCTTCAACTCCTGACATGCTGGGATTCTGTGAGTGTGGTGCTGCTCTGGCCTGCGCTGCTTTGGCTCGGTCGTCTCTGCGCTGCTGGCCCTGGCGTGGCTGGTGGCCATGCAGGACAGTGATGGTGTCTCTGTTCTCAGGACCTTATCGAGACAATAAAATGCTGTGCTTTCCAGAAGGGGTATCCCTCCTAAAATCTGGTACCTGGCTGTGCTGCACTGACCCGTGCAGTGTGGGTGTCTGTCAGACAGGTTTCAGGATGCAGATCCCCATGAGATTACTTACATTACATTGATTTATTTGAATCTATGCCTTTATAAGGATTAAATTTGTCACCTTCATCTGGCTAATTACTAACACCAGTCCAGTTTAAAAGGGCTAAAAAAGGTAATAATATTCTGCCAGGTAATGCGGTGATGAGGCTATAATTAGAAAAATAACCATAAAGTGTAATTTAAAAATATTTTAATTATTATTTCACAAGACATTAATGCTGCAGATAATGTAATCAGGCCCACAGTGTTTGTCCAGATGACTTCTCCCTAAGTTGCTTTTAGGGACTCCTTGGGGTCACAATATCCACCTCACTTTGGAACAGTTCCAGCGCAAGGAACTGTTTGATACACCTTGCTATAAGAAATGGTGTGCATAGCCATCACTCCATGTTACCTACCCTCTCTGTTTCAGTAGTGCAGAAGGTTGGTCATTGTGGTTTTACATGGTGAAGATACTTAACTGGCCACTCTCTGCTCCTCAGACTTTGCTTTGTTTTCACAGGCAGCGATACAGGCACTCGATATCCTTGTGTTTGTCACCCAGCTTGTCGCTGGTGAAGGTTCCTTTGATGAGGAGCATCAGCAATGACCCCGGGACTGGCTCCTCTGGGCAGGGATATGGAAATAGAGGTGCGGGTCTCACCTGTTCTGTCTGCTTCTTTGCAGTGTGTCGGGGAAGGGGATCCTGTCTGGCCATGCAGATGGAACCATCGTGCGCTTCTTCTTCGACGATGAGGGCTCCGGTGAATCACAGGTACCAAAGATCCTCCTTCAGAGAGCAAAGCTCCTGTTTGCACGGCCTCCTGCGCAGCTCAGGAGCTTTGAGGAGGGATCAGGCTCTGAGGGGTGCAAGTCTGGAGAGGAGCTGCAGTCTGTGCTTGCCAGCAGAGGTTTTGTGGAGCACTCTGAGGCAGAACAGTGGCTAGATGCTTTGAAATACAGAATGTGGTGATACGAGGGGAAGTTGTTTTTTTTTGTATGAGACATAAAGCTTTGCAGGTGTCTGGAAAGGTCTGAGATCAGAGTGTCCAGGAGAACGATGCTTGGAAGGGCAGGGCTCAAGGGAATAGCTGGGTACTATTGCTCCTCACCAGGCGATGTGTGGTTTTCCCTGTTCACCCTGAATCCAGAGCCCACGCTCTGCCTGTGGACAGGATGCTCCAGGCACCCAGCATTTCTCCTGAGCCTCCTCCTGCTCCCCAGAACAGCAGTCCCTGTTCTCCATCTGTGGAGAAGGGAAAGCTGTTCTCTCCCTGCACCTGAAGCAGTCTGCGTGTGTCCGCTCTGTACCACGATGTGCTGCAGGCCCACGTATACTCTGCTGTGTTAAGAGTGCATCCCAGTCCAGTTGATGGTACTGGTCTTCTTACTGGCATCAGGAAACTCCTCTCCCAGTGAGATGAAGGGAATAGTTGGTGCATCTCTCAGTTGTGGTTTCTGTCGTCCTTCCTGCACACAAAGCAACCCCCATGATCTGGACTTTACTGGGGCCTCATACTGGTCCCGTTGCCATAGCTGAATACAGAGGCCAGCTGGAGGCTAAAGCCGTTCCTGTTTTTGGGACGTTCCTTCTTGTCTGTTGTAGGGTAAGGTGGTGGTGCATCCCTGTCCTCCTTATGCCCTCGCCTGGGCTGCCAACAGCATCGTGGCTGCAGGCTGCGATAAGAAGATTGTGGCTTATGGGAAGGAGGGCAATGTGATCCAAACCTTTGACTACAGCCGGGACTCGTCAGAGAAGGAGTTCACCACGGCAGCTGCCAGTCCTGGCGGCCAGTCTGTCGTCGTCGGCAGCTATGACAGGTATGGCGCCCCGTTACAGCGCTTTCTTCCTCAGCCGTACACAGCTCTTCACGTCTCTGCCTTCTCGTCTGCTCTCACAGGTTGAGGGTTTTGAACTGGAGCCCGCGCCGCAGCGCCTGGGAGGAAGGCAGACCCAAAGAAATAGCTCACCTCTACACCATCACGGCTTTAGCGTGGAAGAGAGACGGGTCGCGGATCTGCGCGGTTCGTATCATCCATCAGCAACCCCACGCCCACGTGTGCTGCTGGGAGCGAGGCAGTGGGACACAGGGGTTTGTGAGAGCGCTGACAGCGTCACCTCGGTGTGCGCTGCAGGGCGCCTGGGCTCAGGCCCTGCACCAGACGCCCCTGCACTCAGATGTGCAGAGCGTGGGGCTGTGCAATGCCACGGACGGCTGTGTAATGGCTCGTCGGCAGCAGCAGTCCTCCTTTTTGGCAGGAGCGCAGTAAGGGCAGCGTAGCTTCTCTAGAGCAGGCTCATGAGCCTTCTTTGAGCTCCTGTGAGAAGCAGTGTAAAAACTGATCCGTTATTTACACTCTGTATGTGCTGTGTTTGCAGTTCAGAGTTGTTTTTCTTCTACTTTCAGCCGTCAGGCCTCGATCTGCCTTTCTCTATTAAGTTAAATAATTCTTTAAATTAATCTTTCTCCAGATCTTTCTGTATTAAGTTGAATAACTCTTCAAAGCACTTGAATCATTTAGGGGGTTTGCTATTTACAACTTTAATCATTTTTGCATCTTTTCGTGTTCAACGATCAAGAATCCTCGAGATATTTTCAGACAGAGAATTAATTGAACTTGTGAACAAATACTTGCAGAGAAAGGGAAGGGGATAAGGGATGGGAGATCAGTGAGAGGAATGGGGATGTTATAAAGAAAGAGATAAAGGTGGGAGGATTCTGCTGGAAGGGAGCTGAGATTGGGAGGCTCAGAGAGGGAGAGGTGGACAAAAGAGGAGGTTCAATGGGGAAGATGAGGATAAAGGTGATTTTTCACCCCTCTTGTTCCTCTGCCGTGTGCATTCCAGGGTCTGGTCAGCTCTGTTTCTTTGGGAATTTGTCAGTCATTCTGTTCTCTGCAGACGGTCAAGACAGGGCTGCTCCTCCTGGTCGGGGCTTGAGCCTCGCTCCCCAGAGCAGCCAGGACCTGGGGATCTGTGCTCACCTCTGATCCTCTCGGTGTGAGCAGGGTCTGGATCCCCTCACTCCAACAGAACTCAGGGCAGTGTGTGTGTTTCCGCAGGGCACGCTGTGTGGAGGAGTTGAACAGTTCGACTGCTGCCTTCGCAAAAGCGTCTACAAAAATAAATTCGAAATTACATATGTGGGACCAAGCCAGGTAAGAGGATATCCTGTGAGGTAATGTCTCTTGATGAAATGGGATGCTTGCTGAGACTAGACGTGTTTGGAGTTCTGTTGTTCGTAGTGACTCGTCAGGACAGGCACAGGGGTTATTCCAGGGATGGGGTCAGGGCTGAGTGGAGATTGGCTCGGACCGAAGACAGTGGAGGTTATTTCCTAGTTTGTGTGGGGTACCTCCATGCCAGCGCTGACTCCTTAAGTGGTTTAGTATCAGGTTCAAAGTCAGGTAGGGAGGGTGAGCTGGCAGCCGAGGCACCGCTCTGCGGTCAGCGGAGACACAGAGCAAGACCCTCAGGGTGGCTCAATGAGAGCCTGGGTTGTCCTCCAGCCTGGTGAAACTGCTAAATGGCAGGAGGGAGAATCCCACGCTTGTACAGTTGTCATCCCATACAGACAGAATGGTAAGGCTTCCTTAAAAAGCAGAGTGAAATGCTGTGATGGGACACCTCAATACCCGAGCGTCATCTGCTGCATAACCTCATGGGGCAAGACGTCTGTGATCCTCCTCTGTGCGTGGCCTCACGTTGCTTTTCCCCGCTGTCTCCAGGTCATTGTGAAGAACCTCTCAACGGGAGCTCGGGTTGTGTTGAAATCCCAGTATGGGTATGAGATCGATGAGGTGAAGATCCTGGGGAAGGACAGGTACCTGGTGGCCCATACCTCAGACACGTTATTGCTGGGAGACATCAGGACCAACAAGCTCAGTGAGGTACTGGAAGATCTGTGGCATTTCTGGGGTGTCACATGCTTAACTTTGTGCTCAAAGAGTATGGTTTCTGCATGGGAACAACGCATCTGCTTCCAAAGAATCATAGAATAATTCAGGTTGGACAGGACCATGAGAGGTCTGTTATTAAACTTCCTATGCAAAGGAAGGTCAATATTAAATTCAGATGTCCTTGCTCAGATCACCAGCTTATACCAGTATGATTTCTGGTGCCAGTTAATACAAAGATACCATACCCTGAGCCTCACCGTGCTCTGAGTGCTGAGCCAATGTGCCAAGCCTGGAGAACGCGGGTGGTTAGCTTAGTATCTGATAACAGTATTCATTAGGCTTCAGGACGTCTTTGCTTTGTTCACACAGGTATCACATACTTTTAATCAGGCTAATGGTGTGCTAATCGAGAGCACGAGCTCCTGGCTACACATTTGAGCTGGAGGATACTGTTACTTGGTAATCCAGCTGAAATCTGGCCAGACTAAATCTCTAAATCATGCTGCACGGAGGAGTTTTGTCTTCCAGTCGCACAGCTGTATTCAGGTCTTATCCAGAACAGGGCTGTGAGCAGTTCCTGTGCCATCTTGCTGTCTCACTGCGGTTTTGCTGCAGTGGTGGCTTGGAGATCTTGCTCCAGGAGGGAAGAGAAAAGCTGCAGCTTCCACTTTTCTGCTCTCTTGCCTGCTGTCATCACAGTAACTGTTGTGTTGTCCAGCGCCCTTACCAAATTCCACATCAGTTGGTCCTCTGATCACCGGTGCTGTGCTGATCAGCCATTGCTGACACGGCCCCAAAAAGAAGGGTTTCACCTGCACCTGGTGTGGAGATTCTGCCCCTGCCAACGGTAGCACTGATTCTGTGGAGATTTACGGAGGCAAAGGGGCTGCTGAGGGTGTTTTTTGTGGTAGTCTGAGGGAGGTGGAGAGGGCCCTGTGAAAGAACAGGCTAGAGGGAGTGCCTTGGCCACACCAAGGCCAGGTAAGATACCACACAGAGAGAACAGGAGTCTGAAGCAGAGATTAAAAAGAAAGGAGAGGGACGTGAGGGATTTACAAGCTGGGGATGACCAAACAGCAGCGTTGTCCACTGAGGTGCTGGGACACGATCCCGTCTGCAGTGTGAGTGCTGCTCTGCTGTAGGTGTTGAGGGGGGACCGCGGTGCCTGCAGCCTGGTCCCCTGCGGGAGCTGTCGGCCTGGCCTTTCTCACCCCGTGCCCTTGCTTTGTAGGTGGCCTGGCAGGGATCTGGAGGGAACGAGAAGTTCTTCTTCGACAACGAGAACGTAAGTTGGATGCACAGGAGGCTGCCCATGGATGTGTGTGTGCACGGGCAGAAAAAGCATCAACTGCCCCTCTGGAAAACCTCGTTTCTCAGCAGTTTCCTGGACTTGCCCTCTCCATGCAGATCCCGATCTGCCTCCTCCCCATACTTGCCATTTCCACATGCCATGTATAGAACTCAGGGTGTGGACTGTCAACTTGCACAAGTCTTAACCCTGTGAGAGGGAGGAGCAATAAAAGAGCAGCAGGCAGAGGGGATGTTAGAGGTACAGCATACAGCACACAGTGTACAGCAACAGCTGTCAGGGGGACAGCCCAGAGCTAAGATCCCCAGCCCTGAGGAAAAGCTGGCACCCACAAAAGGAAGCCCAGGACAATTCCTTACTCACCCCAGAGGGTTTGAGTTTACACTTGTGTGCAGCAGAGATCGTTTCTGCACCGCTCCCTGGCAGGTATCCGTGCTTACCGGGCTTTTCCCTAAGGGTGCGCTCCCCTCTCGCCTGCAGGTCTGCATGATCTTTAACGTTGGAGAGCTGACACTGGTGGAGTATGGGAACAACGACATCCTGGGGTCTGTCCGCACCGAGTTCATGAGCCCTCATCTCGTCAGGCACGTGTGGTTTGCCCAGTGTGGGTGTTTTGTGCAGCACACCTGGGGTACACGCGCTTGGCGGTGCCGCGCTCTGTGGATCACAGCCCCAGACGCTGGGACCTGAGCAATCTGCTTCTGGTGGTGACCAATGGTGGGAGGTGTAACTGCTCCGTTACTTTTAATGGTTGTAAAGTTTTGAAGCACAGGAGCCTGTTTTTCTCTGATATGTGCTTATTGGAGCCTGACTTGGCTGCTGCAGAAGGGGGACCTCCTGTGCACGTACTCAGGGATCTCTGCATCCAGCTGGTCCTGGTACAGCATTATCAGGGGCTCTGGATGCCAGCTGGACCCCTCTGAAATACCGTTCTCCATTTTTGGGGAGAAAGGGGGATCACAGGCTGCTCGCAGGTGGGAGCAGTGTAACTCATTTGCTGCTGGGGACCCTGGTTCCCCAGGGGCAGCTCCTGGGGTGAAACTGTGAACCAGAAAGGTTTGTTCCCACCTGGGGCAGCTGCAGGGACTGTGTGAGAGTCGCAGGTCAGAGCACTGCAGGACGTCCCTTGTGCTGGGACACTGCAGAGAGGTCAGGGAGGGACCGCGTGATTCAGCCCTGTGAATTTAGAGAGCAGTAACAGTCATTGTTCTCTTCAAATAACAGTGTCCGTATCAACGAGAGACGGCAGAGAGGCGTGGAGGAGAACAAGAGACTGGCTTACCTGATAGACATCAAGACCATAGCAACAGGCGAGTGTAAACCTCCCCCCTGTATTTTGCCAGCCTTTCGTGATCCTTTGCATTCACTGTACCCACAGCAGACCCCCGAGGGTCCTTGTGTATTCACTCTACCCATCACCAGACCCTGAAGGTCCCTTTGCATTCATTCTTCCCCAGGAGACCCCTGAAAGTCCCTTTGGATTCACTGTACCCATCACCAGGCCCTGAAGGCCCTCTTTGCATTCACTGTACCCACAGCAGACCCCCGAGGGTCCTTGTGTATTCACTCTACCCATCACCAGACCCTGAAGGTCCCTTTGCATTCATTCTCCCCCAGGAGACCCCTGAAGTTCCCTTTGCATTCACTGTACCCGCAGCAGACCCCTGGAGATCCCTTTGCATTCACTCCCCCAGCAGACCCCTGAAGATCCCTTTGCCTGGCCTCAGACCACCGCAGACCACCCCTTTTTGGCTGCCTGGGGTGGGCACGGCTGTGGGGTGACTGTGACCACGTCACTGCAGTCTGCTCATCGTGTCATTGTGTTTGTCAGGGGTTGTGCCCTCATTGGGTCCCAGGCGTCTGCTCCCTGCGGGACAGCACTGGATGCTCAGTGCTTTGGGGCACACGAGGTGCTGACACTGTTTCCTCTCTTTCCCCCCCAAGTGGACCTTGTTGGCGGGTACAACACCGGCACCATCAGCCACGACAGCAAGATCGACTGGCTGGAGCTGAACGAGACGGGACACAAACTGCTCTTCAGGGACAAGAAGATGAGGGTGAGGCGGGCGCGTCGGGGGCAGTGCCCGGGCAGGGTAAAGACAGATGTGCCCGAATGGAGGGAGGGAGGTGAGAAATCTGGGGTACTCATGACTTTATGACCGCTCCTTTGAGAAAGACGGACCATGTTCGGATTGCGTGGATTGCGTGTTTGGTCCTGAGTCACAGCTAATTCTGAGGTTAGTGACGAGACATCCTGCTCCATCTCATCACACCTGAAAATGGAAATCACAGGCTCTTCTGGTGTGAGATGGAGACAGGTGGGTTAACATCGGGATCAGGACCCTAACGTTGCACTTCAGCATGTAAATTACAAAAATATGTTCTCTGCAACAGCTCAGCTTATGTGTGTAATTCTCATAGACAGCATAGTCACAACCAAATAGCTTGTTTGGTGCGGCCCTTGGCCTGTGCTGGTTCCCAGACCACAACTGAACACTGTCTGGGAGAGTACTGGTAGGCCCAGGACAAGGCTGTGCCCAAAATCGTGGTAGTGGTTTCACGCTACAGATTATGATGTGCAGGTACGTGCCTCCTGTCCTAGCCACGTCTTGTTTAATTGTACAGACAGAGCTGACGAAGCTCACTGCAGCAGGAGGGAGGATGCGTTTGTCGGTTGTGTTACAGCCCCACTCATTCACTGTCAGTCTCCTTCACTGCTGTGAGTGCAAGGCTCCCTGGCATCTTGGTGATGCCGTAATTCATATCCAGGATGACTATGCTGGTGTCCCAAGTGCTGTGACAGACCCCAGCTGTAGCCCTGCAGCTCATTACAGGGTGGTTTTAATTGCTCCAGAGTTCAGATCCCATTGGGGGCTGTCAGTCTGCAGTGGAAGAAGTCCGTGTTGGCTCCTCCTCTCTTCTTAGTCCAAGAATGGGTGAAGAATTATATCCATACTTATACATGTGTTGAAACCGCTGAGAACTTTCTCAGTCTGATCTCAGAAGAAACTGAGTTCATCCCTCAGGTTCCAGACAGGAACCCCAGGCTTCTTCACTGAGCAGCTGCTCCATCACTTTTGGCAGCTTGACCCCTAAGACTGCATCACAGACTGTAGGGCACGCAGCGGTGTCTTCTTGCCTTGGCATCACAGATCTCCCATGAATTGGCTGCTGGCCACCACTCGCACACAGGCTGGTTCATTGCTGCCGAGCTCGTCAGTGGCAGCTGCAGCGCTCAGCTTTGTGTCCAAGGGGTGCAGTGCCCACCTCTGCCACCTCACAGACTGTACCACAGACTTCTCTCACCAGTGTGCTGCACAAAGACTGTGCTTGTGCCTCACAGAGCAGGACCCCTGCAAGTGCTCGGTGATTCCAGAGGAACAGGAGCAGCCACTGTGGATTTGCAAAAACACCCGTAATGCCTGCATCTGCGTTAGAGTGCCCCTCTGACCAGAGCCTTGTAACCCTCAGGATTGCTCCATCTCTGCAGCTCTGCAGGAGCTTTCACATATCCGTAGAGGTATCAGTCCAGAAAGACCTTCCCCGCAAAGGAGACTGAGTCATGGCCAGCAGCCAGGGCTGTGCTGCACCGGTGCCCTTCAGAAAGGTACCAGCAGTGATTGCAGCCTGCACCAGGCGAATCAGAGCAGCCTCTGTTTGTGAGAGACACCTGCACATCCACAGAGCTCTGTACGTCCTATCGTGAGAAGAGAGAACTTTCCCAGCAACGTACCTCTTTATATTTATTTCTGCAGTCTTGTTCAGTTTATATTTGGGCCCTCTAATTTACTGTCTCAACAGGAGACAGCGGCAGTGTCGAGATTGCTGTGGCCTCTTCTGGCTCTTTTTCAGGCCTCTCAAGATGTTACACAGCTCCTTCATTAAATAAAGTAGCTCCTTCATTAAATACTGCCACCAGTCCAAATGTCTGTGCCTGTTTCTTCAACCAGTTCGGTACAGACCGAAACAGGGACTTTCTTATCCTCTGTTGACTGGTACATCGTGAGACTAGCACAGTTCTCTCTTGTTCTCTTCCTTGTCTTTGCAAGGTGAGACAGTTACGACAAGGAGCGGAGATTGAGTTACAAGGCGTTGTACACCTTCGTTACACTGTGTGTCAGGTTACACCGCCCAGATTGTCAGGTTTGTTTCAGGGCAGCGTATTTTACACACAAACACTGCAATGTGTCCTGCAATGGGGCTCCACAAACACCCCCTGTCCTCGCTGGCAGCAGTTCCTGCAGTGGGGCTCTCCCTAGGGCGTACGGTTCAGCCAGGGCTGCAGGGATGGTCCTTCTTGGTCACCCAGTTTGTTTGCAGGGAGGACTTGGGAGTGGTTTCTGTTCCAGCTCTGCAGCTCAGAGGGAGCTGAAGGGAACCAGGCATATTCTGGTTTATACATGTATGTACCTAGCAATAAGGAAGCCAGGATCTGAGCATGCTGCTTAAGGTACTACAAGAGTTAAAAAAAATCTTATGTCTTGGGTAGTGATGTGTGTAAATAACAGTGTGAGAGTTTGGGCTACGTATGTGGGCAGAAGTCTGATTCCTGGGTGGTAACACGTATTTATGAGGTGCTCAGATATCTCTGCCACGTTCATGAGAGCAATCAGCCCGGCCATCAGCCCCGCTGAGCCTTCTCCCCTCCCCTGCAGTTGCAGCTCTACGACATCGAAAGCAGCACCAAGACGACCATTCTGAACTACTGCGCCTACGTGCAGTGGGTCCCGGGCAGCGACGTGGTGGTGGCTCAGAACAGGAACAGCCTCTGCATCTGGTACAACATCGATGCTCCGGAGCGAGTCACCATGTTTCCCCTGAAGGTAAAACTCTGATTGCCTCCTGCAGTCTCCATCACTTCTTGCTCACGCGTGGGAGCAGTCGGGGTGGTAGTGCAGAAGGGAGACAGAAGGGAGCTGCTGGTTTCTGTCAGCTATGGCAGGCGTTTCTGGCAGAGGATGGAGGTTGTTATAACATAGCAAGGAGCTGCTCGGGGCGTTTTCCTTCGCTCTGGTGAGACCAGGACGATGTCTGCTCAGCGCGAGCTCGTTCAGCAGCACTGAAGTGAGCAGAGACATCGCAGCGCTGTCCTCACCCCTGCTGCCCCTCATGCCGTAGGAGAACACGGGAGTGCTGACATCCCGTACTCTTTCCAGGGGGATGTTGTAGACTTGGAGCGCAGCGACGGCAAGACTGAAGTGATCGTATCCGAAGGGGTGAACACTGTGTCCTACACCCTGGACGAAGGCCTCATAGAGTTTGGCACTGCTGTAGACGATGGGGATTATCACAGGTGGGTGCTAGGGGCACCTCATGGTGCTGGCGGTGACCCCCTCCCCAAGGCACACCGAGAGCCAGCGGTCCCTGAACGGCAGCAGCACAGCTTTTGTGCAGTCGATGTTTAGGCTCTGAGCGTGATGTTGGTGCCCGGTCTGGCTGTAATGCGCAGCAGATCCCTTCAGGGGTGAATATTCAGCATTCCATCCTCACAGCTCTGTGGTTTCAAACTGGGGGGCACAAGAGACCGACCACTCTGGTCCCGTTGGCGCTGACAGAAGTGCACTGAATTCACAGTTTTCACCTGACAAGTGTGTCTTCTGCAGCAGCCAGACGTGAAGTGGTGCTCGGGTGCTTCTGCTGCCCCTCCTGGGATGGATGGTGACAGCGTTGTGGAAGCATTCACAGCTGGGCAGAGTGAAAACTGACAGCCTGGAGTGGTCACGGCAGCCACTTGGGCACTGTTACGGGGCTTTAAAATTGTCCAGGGAAGAAAATTTCACATTGATGGCACTGTTACCACTTGAGAGACTTCTCTGCAGCAGGGACTTGCTTCAGACGCAACACTTGGACTTGCCCCGCACTGCTGCAGCCTTCTGCTGATCCTATGGCTCTAAGTACCTTGGCCCTGATAGGGATCACCTCGATCCTGAGTTTTCCCTGGCAGTCAGGCCCTGCGTTACACTGAACGTGTGCACAGTCCCTTCAGGACCGGTCACACACAGCTTGCTTCCTTTTCAGTGCAGCTCTCTCCTGTCTCAGCCTAGGGTTTCTCTCTGTCACTGAAAATCTGCGCATCTCTCTGTCTCTAGGGCTGCTGCGTTTCTGGAGACACTGGAAATGTCCACGGAGACTGAAGCCATGTGGAAGACGCTAAGCAGGCTGGCTTTGGAAGCGAGGCAGCTGCACATTGCAGAGAGGTACGGGAAGAAGCTGTAACATCCTCCTGGCTTCAACGCTCTTCGCTGAATCCCTCACAGAAACCAGGGTCTGACTTTGATGTGACTTTTGTTGTGGGCTGGAAGATTCACTGCACTGCCTGTGTTCCTTTGCCCTTCCATCCCAGCTAGAGCTGGAGACAGGGAGACATCACTCTGTAGCATACATTTTTGCTGATAGTGACCCAAAGCAGTGCACAGCAAGGCCACAGAGGGCTGACAGACGTGGACAAGCTCAGCGCATCTCTGGAGCCTGGGGAAGTGAAGCATGAGCCCTCCTCATGCCCATGGCTCCTTCCCTGGAGCAGGGATAGAGGGCACATCTGAACATGGGGCTTGGCAAAATCCTTCTCTTGCAGCAGGGCCACCCCCTTCTCCAGCCTCCAGAGCTGGCTCTGCTGCCAGGTCCTGATTTTCTTCCCTTGGACCAGAAGTGGGCAACAAAACCCAGTTCCTGACTGCTTTGCTCTTTCCAGGTGCTTTGCAGCTCTGGGCAACATGGCAAAGGCTCGATTCCTGCATGAAACCAATGCCATTGCCGACCAGGCAGCTCAGGAGCACGTAAGTCAAACCTGTTCTGCTGCGCAGGGCAGCTGCTTTCCTGCACACACCTGCATGGCATCATCTCCTGTGCCCCTGCTCAGCAGTGTCCTGCTGCAGAGCAGTGCTGGTCGTGCAGAAACTGCTGCCACAATGCCCCGACCACGCCGACCAGGGCCCCTTCTGGGTACCCATCTCATATGGGTCCTGTCTTGTCCCTTATGTGGTTCTCATTGTGTAATGACACAGACCCCCCTGCAGTCACCTCCTTGGTACCCAGACCCTGTTCTTGTGCTCAGCACGCTGCTGGAGCTGACTGGTGTTGTCTGCAGGGTGGGGACGGTACAGACCATTACCTGGTGCGTGCTCGCTTGGCCATGCTAGACAAGAACTACAAGCTGGCAGAGATGATCTTCCTGGAACAAGTGAGTAAGGAACAAGGAGCAGAGGTGGTCCCGTTTATTTCTGAGCAGGGAGGTTTGTGCCCTGGTGTGGAAGGGAAAAGGAAGAGGTCGCTTATTCCTGTGAGGAGAGGTTTTGCTCTGAAATAGGAGACATTTCTTGTTCCAGGGTGTAGGGTTGCCATGACCATGAGCCAGCACTGTGCCCTTGTGGCCAAGAAGGCCAACGCCATCCTGGGGTGTATCAGGACGGGGGTGGTTGTAGGGCAGAGAGGTTCTCCTGCCCCTCTGCTCTGCCCTGGTGAGACCACATCTGGAATATTGTGTCCAGTTCTGGGCCCTCAGGTCAAGAAGGACAGGAACTGCTGGAGAGAGTCCAGCGTAGGGCTACAAAGATGATGGAGGGAGTGGAGCATCTCCCTTCTGAGGAGCGGCTGAGGGAGCTGGGGCTCTTTAGTTTGCAGAAGAGGAGACTGAGGGGAGACCTCATTCATGGTTATAAATATTTCAAGGGTGAGTGTCACGAGGATGGAGCCAGGCTCTTCTCGGTGACAAACAATGATAGGACAAGGGGTAATGGACACAAACTGGAACACAGGAGGTTCCACTTCAATTGGAGAAGAAACTTCTTCTCAGTGAGGGTGACAGAGCCCTGGCCCAGGCTGCCCAGAGAGGTTGTGGAGTCTCCTTCTCTGCAGACATTCAAAACCCGCCTGGACGCCTTCCTGTGTAACCTCATCTGGGTGTTCCTGCTCCGGCAGGGGGATTGGACTGGATGAGCTTTGGAGGTCCCTTCCAATCCCTAACGTTCTGTGATTCTGTGATTCTGTGATTCTGTTGCCCTGAGGAGCATGAAGAGGGTGAGGGAGGATGTGTGTCCATGTAAAGGGGACCGTACACCTTTTTGGGTGTTTTCTGCACATCTGGCCCTGCGCACTGTGACAGCTCTGTGGCGATGTGCCTGCTAAACGGAGCTTTGGGTTGACACTTTGCTCTCTGACACAGAACGCTACGGAGGAGGCCATGGACATGTACCAGGAGCTGCACATGTGGGATGAATGCATCGTGGTTGCTGAGGCCAAGGTGAGGACGTAGCTGCCCTGGGCCGTGGGCTGGGTTTGCTGGGTAAATCTGGCTGGGAGACCAGACCCCTGCAAGGTCTGGTTCCCTTCACCCCATCAGGACCTCACTTCTGCCGCGGGCTCTAAGCGGAAGGGAAGGTTGCAGTTGATGTAGGCACAAACCTGGGTGATTAGTGAGGGAGAAAAGCTACTGAAGTTGGGTTGGGGTATCTAAGGCTTGTGATGCAGTGGCACACAGGGCTGGTGCCATGAACCTCAGGGTGAGCAGGACAACGTCTTGCCTTGCCCAGCTCAACGGCTGCTGCATTTCTCAACAGGGACACCCGATGCTGGAGAAGCTGCGTCGGGGTTACTACCAGTGGCTGCTGGACACCCAGCAGGAGGAGAAGGCTGGGGAGGTCCAGGAGGGCCAGGGCGAGTACCTGGCGGCCATCGGCTTGTACCTGCGGGCAGGGCTGCCGGCCAAAGCAGCGCGGCTGGCGCTGAGCAGGGACGAGCTCCTGGCCAACGGGGACGTCATCAGCAGGGTGTCCACGGCGCTGGTCAGAGGGGAGCTGTTCGAGCAGGTGAGTGCTTCACCCCTGGGCCTTCTTCTTGGTGGTGTCAGAGCTCTTACCCTGTCCTCTGCATCTGTGAGACGCAGGGGGACTGAGCTGCAGAGCAGCAGCTGTAATTCTGTGTTGATGGATTTGCAGTTAAAGTTTGGGAGGAAATCCTGCCTGCACCCATTATACACGGGTGAGGTGTAGAATTGCTGTTATCAGGAAAAAGACCACGGTTCTCATGTCCCCAAAACATCATCTGGTGTCAGGGAGGCCCTGGGGGAGATAGGAACCAACAGGAACGGAGTGGTGGGTCAAACAGAAAACTGGAAATCACTGAAAATGTACAGCGCTTCCTCGCAGCAGAACGAGAAATGATGGTACAGCGTTCGTATAAGCGCAGTCTAAATGGGAAAGCTAAGGAGGAAAACAAAAAGGAGGTTATGGAGACAACCTGTAGAACCGTGAGTATCGTGGAGAAGGGAAGTGATTGTTCTGTGTCTAATGACACAGCAAATCAGTAACTACTTGTTATTAGGTGACCGTTTTTAAACAAAAGGGTGCTTTTCACACAGCACATAATCACGTTGATGTAGGAAAGCAGTGCTGAGTCTGACCGTGCACAGCTCGGTGTCCGGACCAACAGCAGATGTTTAAGAAAGGAATATAAAGAGCAGGGCAGGCAGACACAGGGTGGTGCTTCCCCGAGGGTGCTCTCGTGGTTTACAGCAGTTTACCGACTACAGTGTACCTGAACAGCTTTATTTTTATGTTTAAGAGCTCTCGATAGATTTTACATCCATGAGCTTATCAATTCTTGTTTGAACCATCTGTGATTCTACATCTACGGTGTTGGCTGTGAGTCACCCAGTTCAGTTACGTGTTGTGTGAAAAAACCCAGTTCTTTTTGCTGGCCTGTTTTGTGTGCCCTTCTTAAATTACTTTTCTCCAGTCTCATTTCACCTTTGGTGTTTTCTGTCCATTTCATTTTGACCCCAAATGTCCCAGACATTCCCTTTATCCCCAGCGGTAAGGCACAGCTGATGGGGACGTCTGTGTGGCAGGACTGGCACGCTCTGTACGTGGGACTGGGAGGGTCTGTGATGGTGTGGGGAGATGGCGGCTGTGGAAACCAGCAGCGTTTTTTGTCCTTAGGCTGGAGACCTCTTTGAGAAGGTTGGGAACCCGCGAAAGGCTCTGGAGTGCTACTGCAAGGGCAGTGCCTTCCTGAAAGGTACCGTGCTGAACATCCTGGTCCTGTGCTGAACATCCTGGTCCTGTGCTAAACATCCCGGTCCTGTGCTGAATGTCCTGGTCCTGTGCTAAACATCCCGGTCCTGTGCTGAACATCCTGGTCCTGTGCTAAACATCCCAGTCCTGTGCTGAACGTCCTGGTCCTGTGCTGAATGTCCCAGTCCTGTGCTGAACATCCTGGTCCTGTGCTAAATGTCTTGGTCCTGTGCTGAACGTCCTGGTCCTGTGCTAAACATCCCGGTCCTGTGCTAAACGTCCTGGTCCTGTTCTAAATGTCCTGGTCTTGTGCTGAACATCCTGGTCTTTTGCTGAACATCCTGGTCCTGTGCTAAACATTCCGGTCCTGTGCTGGACGTCCTGGTCCTGTGCTGAACGTCTTCCCACCTCATCCCTCCCCAGCAGGGCCTGAGCCCTGTGATTGTGCTGGACGGCCGGGTCCTGTGCTGAACGGCTTCCCACCTCATCCCTCCCCAGCAGGGCCTGAGCCCTGTGATCTGGTGACAATGTCGGCTGTTGCCCTGGAGGCCAGAGATGCCTCGATGCTCTGAGGCGTCCATTTATCTTCTCATTTAGTGTGTGTATTTTCACACACAGTCCCAGAACAGCATCCTGTTCCCAAGGCCCTGGTCGTGCTGACTGCCCCACAGGGATGTGGTCCGGCTCTCACAGGGTCCAGGTCGCTGGAGCTGGGGTGGACAGGGCAGTCACCATTCCCCGCCCTCCACGCCCCATCCATGCCCGTGTTCACCTGACAGCTCTGCTTCCTTGCTGCATTCGGTAACAGCCGTCGTGTCCCCTTGCAGCGGTGGAGCTGGCTCGCGTGGCGTTTCCCGCAGAGGTTGTGAAGCTGGAGGAGGCCTGGGGAGATCATCTGGTGCAGCAGAAGCAGCTGGACGCGGCCATTAACCACTACATCGAAGCCAGGTGGGGGCAGGCGGTGGCTGTGTAACCAGCACTGTAACCTGGAAAGCTGTGAGGTTGATACGGTTTGCTTGAGTCAACCCGAGTAAGCCCCCTCGGCCCTGCTTTGCCATGGTGCTTACATGCAGTCTCTCTGGCCCCGACCATGGATGCCTTCCCGCATCTCATCCCTGATGACTTCCCTGCTGTTCTTCTCCATCCTTTCCCGTTGGCTTTGCCAGTTTTCAGATGCCTTTTGCTGCTCTAACCCAGGAAGAATCAAGCAGCAGCCCCCTTTGGTGTCCCTGCCATAACTCAGAGGGAGCTGGCTGCTAGCTGGGTATAAAGACTTGTGGTTTTGGTGCTAGGTGCTCCATTAAGGCCATTGAGGCAGCCCTGGGAGCCCGGCAGTGGAAGAAGGCCATCTACATTTTGGACTTGCAGGACAAACAGACAGCAGCCAAATACTACCTCAAGATTGCCCAGCACTATGCAGCTTTACAGGAGTACCAGGTGAGGCCAGGGACCGCAGCCGTGGCTGCTCTGTGTCCGGTGGGACTGCTGAGCGCGGTCGTTCCCTGCAGGTTGCAGAGGAGCTGTACCTCAAAGGAGACCGGACCAAGGATGCCATCGACATGTACACGCAGGCCGGGCTCTGGGAGCAGGCTCACAAGGTAGAGTTGGAAACCAAAGCTTCTGGGGACCTTGCTCTGCGTGGTGAAATGTCTTTACCCAGGAGGCAGTGGAGCCTTTTGTGCTCTTCCCAAAGGATGTGCAAGGGGGCATCCAGCCAGGGATCCATCCCTGGCACTCACAGCCTGTCTGTGCCTTCTTTACCTCAGCAGGACCCCCATGTGGGTCCCCCAAATACCACCTACAAGGTCCTGCGTGCTTTGATGGCAGTGACAAATGACAACCCGTTCTCTGCAGAGCATATCCACCGTCAGTAACAGGAAGGAGCTTGGGTTCGCCCTTGTCCTTCACTGCCGTGTATCAGAAATTGCTGTGGTTTCTGCCATGTGTGTTCCTTTCGGCAGCTGGCCATCAGGTGCATGAGTGAGGAAGAGGTGTCCGTGCTCTACATAACCCAGGCCCAAGAGAGGGAGAAGCAGGGCAAGTACAAAGAAGCAGAGAGGTGAGTCCCAGACTGAGCCCTGGACAAATGGCTGTCGTGAGGGGGAGCCCTTTCCTGGGGTGGGAGTAGAGTTTGGGGCTCGGGTTTGGAAAGGTCAGAGGTGCTCCCTCCACACACGGAGACCTCGAGCTGCTATTTCAGCGTTCACAGGATGAGAAGTCACCGAGTGCTGGTGTGAATTTGTCCGCCAGCACAGAGGGAGGCCCAGGGGGGCAGAGCTGTCTTGGGTAGCAGAGGAAACATGGCAAGGCTCTTCCCCACCACAGAGTGCTACAGCTGATCTGTCATGGTCAGCTGAGGATAAGATAAGGGGAGTGTTTCCCATCCAGGTCACTGACGTCTCTCAGCTCTAGGTTAATAACACAGTACGGTTTGTAGGCACGTGGACAAACACGGCTGTGTATCTGATGCTGTGGTTCCTGCTCTCCAGGATGCCCAGTACCTGAAATGGGGCGTTACAGCTGGTGAGGCCACATGGGTTTGATCCCCCTGCTGGCCTATGTGAGTCGAGCTGACGTTGTCCCTGCCAGCAGGACTGGCAGCCAAGGGCTGGAGGCCGAGATGGGAACAGGTCAGAGGCTCCCCCCAGGCCACACCTCAGGGTCACAGTGAGGATGGACACAGTGACTTTGCCCCATTGCAGCTGGTGGTGGCCAAAGAGAGGGGCTCTAAGCCATGTTCAGCCTGCAGCAGTCCCGCTGCACACCAGTCTGTGTGTGCTGTGCCCAGGACCTGGCTGCAGCTGGGCAGGGAGACTGCAGGGACCGGTCACGTCCTCGGCTGAGCCATCTGAACGTGCCTGTGTTTGCAGGCTGTACATCACCATAAACCAACCCGAGCTGGCCATCACCATGTACAAGAAGTGCAAGATGTACGACGAGATGGTTTGCCTCGTGGCCAAGTACCACAAGAACTTGCTCAGCGATACCCACCTGCACCTGGGCAAGGCGAGTGCATCTCGTGGCAGGGGGTCAACCAGGCCAAGCGGGGACACGAGTGTCACTGACTCACTGCCTCTCGTTGCAGGAGCTGGAGGCAGAGGGACGCTTGCAGGAGGCTGAGTACCACTACCTGGAAGCTAAGGACTGGAAAGCCACGGTGAACATGTACAGAGCGAACGACATGTGGGAAGAGGCATTCAGGGTAATGGTCTGAACTGTACCACTGGGCAGGCATCAGGGCTGGACTGGTAGGAACTGCTCTGTCTGTGCTCACCACAACATCTCAAGATTTGGCATTTGCCACCCAGCTTCAGCACGTGGTGCAGCACCGGAGGCGCCTACTGCCCTGCAGCATTGTGCCCCGAAAGCAGGGCTCGACCCTGGGGTTCCCTGCGGCACTGCCTTCCTGCAGGCCTTCCTGCTTTGCTCCCGGCCCTGCGCTGTGCTGTACCGCAGGGGTTTTGCTCTGCCCGTGGCTGTGCTGTAGCAGCCCCAGCCCAGCACTGCCCTGCAAGACACAGATCAGCAGGGGCCACTTCTCTGACCTCAGGGGTGTGGGCTGTGCCGAGGAGGCAGCAACCTCTGCTCTGCTCTGCTGTGCTGAGCCTTTGTCTCACTCATCCCAGTGCAGTGGTGGCTACAGAAGGGTCCTCAGGAGAGACCAGGTTATTTGGTGCTCCCTCATGATGACCAGCATCGTGTGAGAGGGAGGCCTGGCTCGGCATGCTGAAGATAAATGGATGCATGGGGCTCTTCCGCTCTCTTTGCTTTGCACAGGTGGCCAAGGCACACGGGGGAGCGAACTCCTACAAGCAGGTGGCCTACATGTGGGCAAAGAGCCTGGGTGGAGAGGCAGCGGTGAAACTGCTCAGCAAATTCGGGCTCCTGGAGATGGCCATTGACCACGCGGCAGACGGCGGGTGAGCAGGTCCATCAGCCCAGCACTCCTCTCCCGTCCCGCTGCACTGCCATCCCTGCTGCTCCCCCGCGCTGTGGGCTCTGGGGTGTCTTGTGGCCCCCTTAGGGCTGAACCAAGGGTTGCTGGCACTAACAGCGAGTGTGAAGGAGCCAAATTTACACAGTGGGGCTCTAAACGCTCCTTCTCTGGCCAGGAACAGCAGGAACAGGCAGTGCCTGCTCACTTGGGACCCTCTGTATTCCCTCTGTCCTCTCCCAGTGTCTTGTGCTCTGCTTGTCTTGCTCCTGGTGAGGGCATGCCCTCACAGCACATAGTCCTGCTCTCACGTTTTCTCTCTTGCTCAGGGTCTTTGAATTTGCTTTTGAACTGGCCCGCCTCTCCATGAAGCAGAAGATGCCAGAGATCCACCTGAAGTATGCCATGTTCCTGGAAGATGAGGTAACTTCACCCCTGCGCAGGGGGGAGCTCTCTGGTCACCCAGGTTGTCCTTGGGGGCTGCTGCAGAGGCTCGTCTGTGACTGCAGTCACTGCTCGCCCAAAATGCTCCACAAGTACAGCCCCAAGCTTCCCCTCACATCTTTGTTCCATAAATCCTCTGCCTCATGCTAACAGTGATGCGATGGTATCGGGGCAGGAAGGCACGCAAGCAAATTCCTCCCTGTCTCCTAGGGCAAATTCGAAGAGGCTGAAGCAGAATTTATTAAAGCTGGGAAGCCCAAAGAGGCAGTGCTGATGTACGTACCCTTCCCCACCCTGCTGCCCCTGCTCCCCCTGTATGACGCCAGCCCGGCTGCTTCTCCCGCACTGGTCTGCTCCTTGCCGTCCCTCCTGGTGCCTGTCACGTTGGTTCTCCCAGGTTGGTGCACAACCAGAACTGGGATGCTGCGCAGCGCGTGGCCGAGGCCCACGACCCGGACAGCGTGGCTGACGTGCTGGTGGGACAGGCACGCTTCGCTTTTGAGCAGAGGGAGTTCCAGAAAGCAGAGGCCTTCCTGCTGCGGGCACAGCAACCCGAGCTGGCCATCAAGTACTACAAGGTGAGCGCGGTCTGTGGCAACGCCATCGCCTTCCTCGCTGGACAAGGACCCGGTTTGCAGGGAGGAGCAGTGAAATCCATCTCCCAGCTCCTCCCTGTGAGCTTCACAGCCAAAGAGAAACCATTTACTGCAATGGTTCTTGGATGGTCCTCAGGGGCGGCACGAGGGGGTGAATTTGGAGGCTGTAAGTGCCCATTGCACAGAGGCAGCCAGGTTGGGTGAGCACTTTCGCTGAGGCGGCTTGGGTGAACGGGTAGACACGGGTGCCGCTTTGGGGAGGAAGGAGTTGGATGGTGCTGCCGTGGTTGGCTCTCCCAGTGGGTCCTCTGGCAAGGCGACACAGTGGCCAGATGTGTTGTGTGACCCCAGGGGGGGTCCTGGTGAACTGGTGACAATTTCTCCGTGTTGCTGCAGGAGGCTGGCATGTGGAGCGAGGCCCTGCGGGTCTGCAAGGAGTACATGCCCGGTCGGCTGGAGGAGCTGCAGGAGGAGTGCGGCCAGGAGGCGGCCAAGAGGGGCTCCAGGTGAGGAGCGCTGTGGCAGGGACAGATGCGTCCTGCCTCTGGTGCCTCACAGCCTGACGGGACCCCTGGGGTCCAGTTGCTTCCTTCTTGAGGACCCTGGACTTACTGCATAGGTTTCCCAACATCCTCCCTGCTCTGGGAGACTCCAAGCTCAGTCTCACCATCCAAGCTCTCCCAGATGTCTTGCCACTTACAGATCTCCTGTACCACCAGTGCATCTTCCCAGGGTCCTTAATCAGTTCTCTCCTCAGCACCGGTTGTGTGCGCTCCTTGTCACACTCTGGGGTCCCTGGCTCACCTCCTCCTGCCCATGCCCTGCGCTGCCCATGGGGTCTCCGTGGCAGCACCCCAGTCCCGCTCACAGCCGCATTCCCCCCGCAGAGGAACAGAAGGGCTCCTGGAGCAGGCGCGGGAGTGGGAGCAGGCTGGGGAGTACGCCAGGGCCGTGGACTGCTACCTGAAGGTGCGGGATCCCAGCAGCAGCGCCCTGACGGAGAAGTGCCTGCTGAAGGTACAGTTGGGCTGGGGTTCCTTTCCTGTGCTGTCCTGGAGGTCTCCCACAGCCTGCAGTGCGTCCCAGAGACGTCCCGGTCACTGCGGGGCACGGGATGGGATCTGCGGCTGCAGTGCTGCAGGGTGTGAGCGCCTTCACGGCCGCGCTGTTGAGCCATGGTGGCTGTGAGCTCGTCCTGCACTGACGTCCTTGCCCTGGCACCGCTCCCTGCAGCCGCTGTCTGTGCCCACTGAAGGGCTGGACTCCATGACTTAGCCCTTGGCTGGATGAACGCCCTTCCTTCTCACGGCCTATGTCCACCAGCCTTTGGGTTGTGTTCTTGTTCATACTTTTCACTCATACCTGTGTCCTTGTACCAACTTCAACACCAATTCTGTCCGTGTCTGCTCTCCCACGTGTGACAGCAGTGGGCTGTGCTGCTCCGAACTGCTGAAGGGGGCTGGCATTTCTTGTCCTCTTCCCTCACAGTTCAGGTGCTGCTTCTCTTTTATCTGGGACTGAGCTCTCCCCAGCTCCATCCCTCTCTCAAACAGCTTTTAACCCCTGTGCAATTTCTCTTCACAGGCTGCTGAGTTGGCCACTAAATTCTTGGGTCGGTCGCAGAGCGTGGAGGTGACACGGACGGTGGCTCCCCAGCTGATGGCCATGAAGAAATGCAGTGCGGTGAGGGCTGGCCCCTGCCCCGGGCTGCTGCAGGAGCGGTGGTGTGGGAAGGGAGAGCTCTGTCCACATCCTGGGGGACACATCCTGGGGTGATGGGTGCATGGCCCGGTGCAGAGGCAGCGCAGGGTCCTCAAGGAGGAGGAAGGAGGGCAGGGACCGAGTCCTGGAGTGGTGTGGGAGAGCCAGGCCCTGGGGGGAGGCGGGAAGCAGAGAAGGGGGTAGATTTGTGAGGATGTTTCTGTGGTTGCTGCATGCCTGGGCTGCAGGGTGCTGCTGGGGCCTCATCTCCCATGGGGCTGTCTCTGCCCTTGCAGGCGGCTGAGCTCTACCTCAACCTGGACCTTATCCGAGAAGCCATCGATGCCTTCATCGAAGGGGAAGAATGGAGCAAAGCCAAGCACGTGGCCAAGGAACTGGACCCCAGGCATGCCCTCAACTTCTGGAGTTATACTCAGCCCTAGATGGTCCCAGTCCTGTCCTGCCATGTTCTGTCCCATCCCATCCCGTCCTGTTCTCTCCTGTCCTGTCCTGTCCTGCCCTGCCCTGTCCCATCCCGTCCTGTTCTGCCCTGTCCTGTCCCGTCCTGTTCTGCCCTGTCCCGTCCTGTCCTGTCCTGTCCCGTCCTGCCCTGTCCCGTCCTGTCCTGTCCTGTCCTGTGCAGTCCTGCCCTGTCCTCCCCCTCTGCCCTGTCCTGTCCCGTCCTGCCCTGTCCCGTCCCGTCCTGCCCTGTCCCGTCCTGTTCTGCCCTGTCCTGTCCTTTTCTGCCCTGTCCTGTCCTGTCCTGTCCCCTCCTGTTCTGCCCTGTCCTGTTCTGCCCTGTCCTGTTCTGCCCTGTCCTGTCCTGTTCTGCCCTGTCCCGTCCTGTCCTGTCCTGTCCTGTCCTGTCCTGCCCTGCCCTGCCCTGTGTCCTGTCCTGCACTGCTGTCCCCAGTCCCCTGCAGTCTCCCCACAGTGCACATTCTCCACCGCTGCCCTTCCCAAGCCCTTTCCCATCCCGACACTTTTCTGTTACTCCACATCCCACGGAAATCGTTACTTCCTTTTGCCTCATCCCTCTCTCCCCTTCCTGGGCATAACTCTGTGCATGCATTCCCTTCCGAAAGTCCTGTGATCCCCTCTCTCCTCACACATTGTACTGGACCCTTTCTTCCCCTCTACCTGTGCTCCAGCAGCAGGCCAGGAAAACACGGCTCAGCTGTAAATCCTCTTTCCCAAAGCAGAGTTGAAACTGGCCTCTGCACCAATGCAGGACCCTGTCAGTCTGGCTGCCTGTTAAGCTTCTTTGTGCCCCGCAGGTCGGAGCAGTACGTGGACCAGCGGTACAAGGAGTATTTAAAGAACCAAGGGAAGGCAGACTCGGTATGTATTTGGGCTGTCTCACAGGCCAGGGAGCGGTGTCAGGGTCTGTGCAGGTCCTTGGGGCCTTTCTCATGGGTGAGGAGTCTGTGTGCGCCATGGCTTCTGCGCGCCCGATGGGTCACGCTGGGCCCGTGCTTCCACACCATAGACAGGGAGGAGACCTGGATGGGCTGATGCCTGCCCTGATGCTGGTAGGAAACCTCACCTGTGCGGTGAATTGACGGCCGTTTGCATCCGCAGCTGGTGGGAGTGGATGTCATGGCTGCTCTGGACATGTACGTGGAGCAGGAGCAGTGGGAGAAGTGCCTGGAGGTCGCAGCCAAGCAGGTGAGCGCCTGGTGTCAAGTGGGGCAAATCCGAAACCGGCTCTGCCGTGTGCAGCCTGGTTACCGGATCTCGCCCTTCGGGACTCGGGTGCGTGGGTGTGCGTACGCGCCCCTGGAACCGCCCCTGCGAGCCACGGGTGTTCACGAAGCTCATGCTGCTGCGCCTTCTCCAGAACTACAGCGTCTTGCACAAGTACGTGGCCCTGTACGCAACCCACCTCATCCGGGAGGGCCACTGGGACAAAGCCCTCAGCCTGTACGTCCAGCACGGAGCACCTCCCAACCCACAGGTAATGAAGTCCCAGTGTGAGCTGACGGTGAGTCAGGATCCCAGTCCAGATCTGGGACTGCAGGGGTTCAGCCCTGCTGTGCATCCTTCCCAGAATCCCAGAACATCAGGAGTTGGAAGGGGCCTGGAAAGCTCCCCCAGTGCAACCCCCCCAGAGCAGGATCACCAGAGCAGTCACACAGGAACACGGCCAGGGCTTTGGGTGTCTCCACACAAGGAGACTCCACAACCTCTCTGGGCAGCCTGTTCCAGTTGGAAAGGAACCTCCCAGGGACTCCTCAGCTAAAGGCAGCCTCCTGGCATATTGATGATGATGTTGTTTATTCCCCACGGGGAAGAAGCAGGGGGAGTTGAGTGTCTGTGTTTGTTCTGGGCACCAAGACCAGAGCAGAAGGAGCCGTGTTTGCCTCTCTGAGAGCGCTGGCTCCCTACCCATTGCCATGCCCTGTCCCATGGCTGCTCCAGGAGCCCGTGTGTGACAGCAGGAGAGCTCCAGACTCTGCTCACTCCCACCCGGCTCCCTCCAGACCTCCCTCCTTTCTGTTGCAGAATTTCAACATCTACAAGCGTCTCTTTGTGGAGATGGTGAACGCACCGGGCATGAACTGTGCTGAAGCTTACTCCAGCTGGGCTGACCTGCGCGACGTCCTCTTCGATCTGGTGAGCGTGGCCATGGCCAGCGCTGCCGGTCAGACTCCAGCCCCCAGGTCCTGGCAGGGAAGAAGGTCTCCAGCCCCCGGGTCCTGGCAGGGGAGAAGGTCTCCAGCCCCCGGGTCCTGGCAGGGAAGAAGGTCTCCAGCCCCCAGGTCCTGGCGGGGGAGAAGGTCTCCAGCCCCCAGGTCCTGGCAGGGGAGAAGGTCTCCAGCCCCCCAGTCTGTAGCCAGGGACACAGGCAGCCAAGGGGAAAGGGGGAAATGTCCACATGTGGGCAGGGGAGCAGGACGTTGTGCAGTGCCCATGGCCAGGCAGGGAGGTCAGGGAAGAAGATGGCCCTGCGCTGAAGGCCAGACCCTGGAGGTGAGTCTGGACACGGCACTCACAGAGCTCCCTGTGTCGCTGCTGTGGGAGCCCATCTCAACGTGCCCACTTTTCGTCCTGCACCCACATTGGGCAGCCCAGGGGGGGCAAGGGCCTGGGGAAGGCACAGAGCTGCTGAGCCTGGAAAGTGGGAGTGCTCCTCCTGCTCCTTCCCTCTCCCAAAACACCTCAGCCAGAGCCCACGGCCGCCTCTTCTCTGTTTGTGTCCCACCTCTGGCATGAGCAGAATCCACAAATCCCCTTTGTGGACAAATTCCCACCCTCCAGGTCCCAGAGCACCCAAGGCCCAGCCCTTTCCCAGTCCCCAGAGGTGCCTGGACATCTCGGATTCTTCTCTCTCCCAACTTCTCCCTGGACTCAAGTGGATGAAGAGCGCCCTTGCGCTCTCCCGTTCTCAGTTAATCTCCTTTTCTCTTCTTCAGTGTGAAAAATTGGTAAAGTCAAGCGAGGCGAACACTGCAGCGCATGAGGAGTTTGAAACGATGCTGCTGATCTCCCACTACTACGCCACCCGCTCCGCTGCCCAGGGCGTGAAGCAGCTGGTAAGGTCGTGGTGGTCCTCAGCCACCACAGGGCCCTGACTGGGCAGGTTCAGGGCCGTCCATAGCTCATTTCCACTTCCCGGATCACTTGCACGTCACGGATGCAGGGGAACGGGACTGCAGTGACCTGCGAGCCCACCCACCGCTGGCAGCTGGAGATGGAGGTGGTCTCCTCTGCTCCTTATGGTGGGACCAGGACAGGGTTGGTTTCTGGGCTGGGAGCACCCATTGCCAGCTCACGTTGAGCTGCTCCTCACCCAACAGCCCAGGTCCTTCTCCTCAGCGCTGCTCTCATCCATTCACCCCCAGCCTGGGCTTGTGCTGGATTTCCTCCACCCATTGCAGGACCTTGCGGTCTGCGCACAGCCCCTGCCCCATCCTGGCAGTACGATCTCATGCGATCCCTTCGCACCCGATTTTTGGTGCTGCCTTGTGGTGTCACTGTCCCCTGTGCCTGCAGGACACGGTGGCTGCCCAGCTGTCCATTTCCCTGCTGCGCCACACCGAGCTGCTCCCCGCAGACAAGGCCTTCTATGAAGCTGGCATGGCAGCCAAGGTAAGAGCTGTCTGCTCTACTTCCTCACCCCCTGTCCTCTCCTGGTCCACCGGTGCCAGACACGGGCACGTGGAGGCCTTTCCTCACAGTTGCCCAGCTCTGTGTTGTGCTGTGCAGTGGCAGCAGGGATGGGAGGGCAGACCTGAACCCCCCCGGCAAGGGGACATGAGCTGCAGCCCCGGGGTGGCCCAGAGGCCTGGGTTAGGGTTAGGGTTAATGGCCTGGCTCAGTGCAGACGCAGGACTCCTGCCTGGTCTGTCGTGCTCTGTGTCACCCAGTGTCACCTCGCTCCTGCCCGGACGCAGGGACACACCAGGGGCACACCAGCACGG